TTGCAGTTCAAGAAGAGTTCTTCCACTGATGCTAGACACTGGACCAGGTTCTTAAAAAGCTTTTTTTTAAAAAAAAAAAAAAAAAAAAAGGTGAATTTTACTAGTGGCTGAGTAGGTGTGTTTCTCAGGAACTAATCAGGGATTTCTTGGTTGTGTTTTCTTGCTACCTGCTCTGGAAGGATGGAGGGTGTAAGAAATTCCTGTTATAATGGGTTATGGGTACTTCACAAGAAAACATGTCCTCCAGGTGTTGCCACTGGGATTGGACTGCATTGTGAGGATGATAAAATCCCTTTTTAAAAAAGAGGGGGCTCGTAATATGAAAATGTTTTAAAAATCAGAATCAAAGTGGACATTGAGAGTATTTTGGATGTTTTCTTGAACTTCAGGCACAGAAAGTCTGGCTTGCTGAGCTGCTCAGACAACAGGCTACTATTAGAGCAATTCAAACTTTTAATAATAGATCTCTCTTAATCAATAGACCCTCCAATTAAAAACTTGCTATACTGTGGTGGCACAGTTGGTTTTGGGGCTGTACTGGGGCTGTGGGTCACTCCTGTGCAGTCATTATCAGCAACATCTGTGAGCTGGGCTGCCTTCTGGTGGGCTTTGTGTGCAGGATGAGCAGGGTTCTGTGGGCTGCTCTTGATAAGGGTGCTGTGTAAGAGATGAGCTCTTTATCAGCTTGCTAATACTTGGGCAGTGTTCTTAAGGGCAGGCCTAGCTGGGAAGACCAAGCCCTGAAACTTGCATGGTGCTGACTTGATACAGCTGCCCTGTGAGGGCTGTGGGGCAGTGTCCTCCCAGGGGCTGTCACCATAAGTGCCACAACAGAGGAGCTGTTTGTCCTTGTGCTGGCAAGCCCTGGCATTGAGCAGTGAGTGTCAGACAGTAACTGGGAACTTTGTCTTTCTCTGTGACCTCTGGGATATTGCCTGACAGCTCAGGCTTCTGTTTCCTAGCTAAGCATTTCTCTACCAGAGAAACTGAAATTTCCAGAGCTGCATTGTGGCTTTTGGAGATGCTGAAACCCGTGCTGGACATGGCAACCTGATCTGATTAGATCTGCTTGGACTAGATTAGTTTTAGCAGCTTCTCCCAGTATAAATTATTCTTATTCTGTCATTAATGCAGGACTTTATAAATGGCAGGTTCTGTTTGGATTCTGCAGAAACAGATCTCATCTTTTATAACAAGCTCAGGACACTCCTCTAGGTATAATCACTGCTCATAATGTAGATTTTCTGCCTCAAAACTGCAATTTAAACTGACATTTGTCTGACCACACCTGTGTCCCCCTTACTCATCCCTGTTTGTGTCAGTCCCTTCTGCCAAAGAGGTTGGATCCTCTGTAGAATTATCCCTCTCTAGGGGCAGTGAAAGCAAAATATATACAAATTAGCAGCCTTGAGGAAGAGTGAGAATATTTCAGGCAGGGCAAGTTTGTGTATGAATGTAGCTTTGTTTGCTTTAAAACCAAATCATCTGTGCAGACTCTCTCCTCTTCCTGTGTAAAGATCAGCAGACAACAATACCTGCCTGCAGAACCAGGCATTGTGTGCCATTCTTAGAAGCTGCAGTCGATGATTTCCTGAAGAAGCCCTTCTCTGAGCAGCCTGTTACAGCACACAGCCTGTGCTGGGCTAGAGCTACGTGACAGAAAGTATCCACTGTGAAATCTGACCTACCTTTAGATAACGTGATTGATTTTTCTTTTTTCTTATTTTTGTCCTTGTTGAAGCTGATCTTGCTCAGCTGGGGCAGTCACACGTCCTTTAGTGACAGAGTTGTGCTTAAAAATGTAAATTGCTAAGTCATCTCAGACATATATAGGTTCATTTAATTTCTACACCAGGAGTACTGGGCAGAGGAAATCATTCAGTGCATCGCCTGCCAGAAGCACATGGAGTGAGGAGAAACAAAACCACAGCAATTGAACTTTGAAATCTGGTAAATTTCACTGTACTGAAAGTGTTCTAGTGAACTCACATGCTCTGTTAAGGTCTGAGTACATTTTTGGAGTATACATCTAATTTCGAAGTGAGTCATGCCACAGAAATGGTTTGAGGTCTTAGATGTTTGCTATCTAATCTTCTGAAAGGGTATTTTGCTCAAGGACTAACAGTTTCTCCAGGAATAGACTCTTTCTTTTTAGTAATTTTACTAATACTTCATATGCTTCTGCCAGCTGGACACCTGGCTGGAGGGCCTCCTTCCTTCCCCCTCTGTTGGGCTGAAGCCTCGCTCACACCTCTGGTGTGGGCTCTGGATCAGTGCCATGTTCCTTGGTAACCTTGGGGCTGGGTTACCACAGCCCTGTCTACCTGGGACTGCCCTGAACACAACTTGTGTGTCAGTAGGTTAGCAGATGACCCATGCTGCCAAGGCCTGTGCCACCTGGAAAGGCTTGGTCCCTGCCAGGAAGAGCCCTGGATGAAGGTGCCTCCACTGCTGCAGAACCAGCTGCTGGCCAAGCTGTGTGACACAGGGGAGGACATCAGACGTATCCCCCAGGTTCTCCACCATCTTCCTAGCCAGTGGCTCTTGCAGTGCTTCCTGCAGCAGACCTCAGGGCTGCCTATAAAGCAGCATTTTGCTTCTAGAATTTTCCTGATGTATCCTGATGGCCTGAGCTGACTGCTTAGAGCAGATTTCTGAGTCTTTCTGATTCATGCAGCTATTACTCCCTCCTTCAGTCTGGCAGTTGCCTATGAATGGATAAGATGGACATAGCAAATAAATAAATACATGATATTTGTTTAGATGACAGCATTGCCCACTGTCTGAGGGCCTCTCTGCAGGCAGAGCTGGAGAGCCCCTGCCTTATCCCGTGCACCAGACAATACTCTCTCATGCTCCAACCAGCTTCCTTCCTTCTAAGTTATTTTAAATACTTACAAAGAGATTCTTAAACGTTTAAAACTGTGTTAGCTTTCACTCCTGGAAGATCTGAGAGGTGCAGAGGCACTGCTTTTATTTTAGGTAGGACAATATTGATATAAAACTGTAGTAAGTTACTGTGCTTAAATAGTCAGTATTTGTCTCTGAAATACAGTTACTGCCTTCAGGGTTATTTGGACTCGTTTCAGTACTGATAAAGCTTAACAGAAGATTTGCTAAAATCACATTATAAGGAAGAAGTGGAGGTGCTTACAGATCCTTTGGACAAGCAGAATGCAAAGAAATATCTTTACACCTTTGAAGCAGAGGTTTTTGCTCATGTTTGGGTGGGGCACGAGGCTTCTTCCTGGCCAAGGGAGAGGCTGCAGCTGGTGGCTCCTGCTGTACCTGTGGAGCTGAAGGGAAGGAGTTGGTCTGTAGGTATGGAGCACATTGCTTTCCTTCCCTATTACGAAGTTCTCTTTGCAACGACAAGTTGGAAGCCACATGCTGAAAGTTGCAGAGGGGTGTGTGTTACTGTTGCTAGTGGGGCCAGGTGCCCTGTCCTGTGAGAGGGAGAGCCTGAAAACATTTTGTGTGCTCAACAACCCATCCCAGGCCTGTGTTCCTGCCTCTCCTCTGCAGCTTTTAATGCTTAACTGAAATATTTTTATATAGTATCTTGAGATTTTAGTCTCTGGTTTATTATCTCTCTGCAGGTGGAAGAATCTGAAGCCTTTATCCTCTGTCCAGCTCTGCAGGTCGGGAGCCCCTGGTTCCAGCCCTCTCCTCACTCCCACCTGCCAACCTGTCTGATATGTCGGGACCCGTGCCGAGCAGGGCCAGGGTTTACACGGATGTGAACACACACAGACCCCGGGAGTACTGGGACTATGAGTCACATGTTGTTGAGTGGGGGTGAGTCCCTGGGTGCCTTGTGGATGTCTCTGGACCAGGATCCCTGTAGGATCCTGCACAGAGATGCATGGGGAGTTTACCTGTGCTGCATTAGGCTTTCTTGTGCTCCTTGACAGATGTCTAGTTTGCATGGCAGGTGTAGGGATCACAACTTTTCTTTGGAAGAGTGTTTCTTGTCAAAATTTTAAATCCCCAGCACTGCAGGAACATACTTACCAGCTTCCTTAAGAGTGTGGTTTGAAGAATTTTTGCCAGGTAGTCAGGAAACTTCCCCTTTCAGAGGGAAGAAAACATTTTCCTGAAAAAAATCTAAACAGCCCAGTGTGAGGGCTGAAAAGAACAGACATCTGAAGTTGCTTGTGGCTTGGATGAGTGAAGAGATCTAGCAGACTTAAATAGGTATGTGCTATTTTGTGACTTGTTGCTCGTCTCCTGCAAGTGACTGGGAAAGATATGCCTGCTGCTTTTTGAAGGAAGGAGGTGTCTAAATGGAGCTCATGACTAAACCACCCAGGAATCAGCAGTGGTGCCAGCTGCATAGCTCTGCTTTTGTAGAACAGGGCCCAGATTAAGTTCTGCCCTCAGCTTTGTTGCAGGTTTCTGAAATACACACATTCTTCTGAGCCTCAGTGCTGGTTTGTGCCTAGTCTGTTTTTTTTAAACAGGCCAGCACTTGAATTTTGGATCTTACTGGCTTTGTTGATTTTTATCAATATTATGCAAGGAAAAATACAGCTTCCAAATATAGAGAGACCAGTAGAAGAGACAGCTTGAGTTTGCTGAAGCTGGATTGCATAGTTTGGCTTATGGTACCTTCAGCAGAAGAAATAAATTCTGGATTGAATCTGACGTGGGTGAGTTGAAGCTCCCTGTTCTCTCCTAATTCCTAATCGTCGTGTCAGGAGATGTAAGACACTAATCCACCTTGACTGGAAGGTGAGGGAGTGATTTAGTGTTAAGGAGAGGTTTGTAAATTGTGATGGAAATAACTGAGCTCTTTGGAACTCTTAACTTTTTATCTCCACAGAAATCAAGATGACTACCAGCTAGTTCGAAAATTAGGCCGAGGCAAATACAGTGAAGTGTTTGAAGCCATCAACATCACAAATAATGAAAAAGTAGTTGTTAAAATTCTCAAGGTGAGCTTGGGGATTGGGTAAGAGAGGAAATCTGTCTTGAGGTGATCCAGAAAGTGCAGCATTTGGTGTTAAATGTTTGATGTTGTAAAACTGAAATGCTGAAAGCCTGGCTTTGGAGTGTTGCTCAGTGAAATGGGTCACTGTTTTGAGCTTTCAGATAGAGCCCTGTGCTTGGTTATTGAGGCAAATCTCCACCTGTAAGGAATTAGACTCTTACCTTAAAGAAGTCCTGATGTGCAACACATTTTTACTTGGAGCTAAACAGCACTTCAGCAGCTGACTAGAAAATTTTCCCCTCCTCTAACTTGCAGAGCCCTGCTGTGCTGGCTGTGAGCTAAAGGGATCGTCCTTTAAAGCCTCTGATTAGATTTAGGCACTGCTAGCCTTACAATTTTTGTTTCTTTCTGCGTATCCCATTACCTATGTAGTCATATTCTTCCAGATTGAGTAAGGGTCTCCTGAATTCTGGTTGTTCCACAGCCTTGATAGGTGAAACCTTCATCTGATGGCCTTTGGATAGCTTGTGCACTTGTAGATATGCACATAGGCCAGTTAATACATTTTGGACCATCAGATCAAGTTCAAACAGATTAAAAACAATATGCCATCCTAGTAGCCCTCCTTCACATGAAGCTGATGCTTGTGGCTGTCAGGGTTGTATGGTTAGAAAGAAGACTGGAGGTCATTGAGCCCATACTGGAATGATGCATAGCCAGGTAAACAAAATGGAACTGTTTGAACTCAGCTTGCAAAGGCTGTGATGGGTTTTGGGGATTTGTAGTCACCTGCCTTGGTCATCCTGGCTAGGCTGTCTGTTTAGCCTCACTTTATTTGGGTGTTTTGTCTCACACTCTGGGTTTTTATTCTTCAGCCTGTTAAAAAGAAGAAAATCAAGCGTGAAATCAAGATCTTAGAGAACTTGCGAGGAGGTCCCAATATAATCACCCTTGCAGATATAGTAAAAGATCCTGTGGTGAGTATGGAAGGAACTTCAAGGGTGCACTGGGGTTATGGGTGAAGTTGCTGTGTTTGACTTCAGCTCTGATCTGGCTTTGTTTCCCCCTGCTCCAAAATCCTGCTTTTGAATTGCTTAATCAGATCAGCTCTTAATCTGATTAACTTCTGTTAGAGGGAGGGCCCTTCCCCCACGGGCCCCTCAGCCCCTCACTCTGCGAGGGTGAGATAGCAGAGAACTGAGACAAGTTAATTCCTTCTGCAAACAGTGGGGCTGCAGGCTTTGGCCCTCCTGTCTGAGGGGAATCACAACTGTCTGAGGCAGAGGGGCTTCTCTCAGTTTTAGGAGTAAAAATAGTTTAATTCATTCTCCTAGATAAAAACATATTCTCCCAACTTACCATGGCTGAACACTTTTCTCTCTGTTTTAGTCTCGGACACCTGCTCTGGTATTTGAACATGTAAACAACACAGACTTTAAGGTACAGTGTGGGATGGGAACTTCTGGTGTTTTCCATTGGAAGCTGCTCAGAATGTTTTTCTGGGGAAGGACAAGTAGATAGGGGGGCAGGCAGGTTATTTAATAATTTCCTTCCAACAAAATAACTGTCTTTAAAGGTAAAAACACTTGGGACAGCAGTTTGTGGTTAGTCCTTTAATGCATTTTGCCACAGAAGTTACAAGATTAGAATCCAGATTCCAAGTGGTATTCTAAACTTGGGAGCAAATAAATCTGTTCCCTTGTTGGACCATCAGTGCCTGTCCTTTTGAAGCACTTTGTGTTCAGTGTGTAACTATTTATTAGAACCACTTGACATGTGGACAGCTGTTCCTGTCACTGTCCATGCTTCTGGGAAAAGGGATTTAAATATTTCTTTGTCCCCTTCCCTACTGACCTGCCTCAAGAGAAGAAGGGCTTGCAGTGCCACCTGGAATAGCTGCTTAGTGTTGCAGAGAGCCTTGGTCCTGTTGAGACGAGTCCATAGGGATAGTGCCTCGTGCTGGTGGGGGGGAGGAGTGCAGCCTGAGGGAGGGAGTGACAGGAACCAGAAGGTTCTGAGAGAGCTGGCAGGCAGCCGTGGATGTGGTCTGTAGGGGGAGAGGAACAGGCTGACCTGAGTGGGGTGTGGGATCAGAGGCACTTGGGAAACTTTTACTGTCCCTTCAGATGGGTTTGGCAAAGCAGAGCAGCGGAATCACAACTGTCTGAGGCAGAGGGGCTTCTCTCAGTTTTAGGAGTAAAAATAGTTTAATTCATTCTCCTAGATAAAAACATATTCTCCCAACTTACCATGGCTGAACACTTTTCTCTCTGTTTTAGTCTCGGACACCTGCTCTGGTATTTGAACATGTAAACAACACAGACTTTAAGGTACAGTGTGGGATGGGAACTTCTGGTGTTTTCCATTGGAAGCTGCTCAGAATGTTTTTCTGGGGAAGGACAAGTAGATAGGGGGGCAGGCAGGTTATTTAATAATTTCCTTCCAACAAAATAACTGTCTTTAAAGGTAAAAACACTTGGGACAGCAGTTTGTGGTTAGTCCTTTAATGCATTTTGCCACAGAAGTTACAAGATTAGAATCCAGATTCCAAGTGGTATTCTAAACTTGGGAGCAAATAAATCTGTTCCCTTGTTGGACCATCAGTGCCTGTCCTTTTGAAGCACTTTGTGTTCAGTGTGTAACTATTTATTAGAACCACTTGACATGTGGACAGCTGTTCCTGTCACTGTCCATGCTTCTGGGAAAAGGGATTTAAATATTTCTTTGTCCCCTTCCCTACTGACCTGCCTCAAGAGAAGAAGGGCTTGCAGTGCCACCTGGAATAGCTGCTTAGTGTTGCAGAGAGCCTTGGTCCTGTTGAGACGAGTCCATAGGGATAGTGCCTCGTGCTGGTGGGGGGGAGGAGTGCAGCCTGAGGGAGGGAGTGACAGGAACCAGAAGGTTCTGAGAGAGCTGGCAGGCAGCCGTGGATGTGGTCTGTAGGGGGAGAGGAACAGGCTGACCTGAGTGGGGTGTGGGATCAGAGGCACTTGGGAAACTTTTACTGTCCCTTCAGATGGGTTTGGCAAAGCAGAGCAGCAGAGAGCTGGGCTGGGCTGGGCTGGGCTGCTCTGGGTGGGCAGGGAGTGGGTGTTTCTTGGGTGTTGACCACTGATAGGATGTGTTTGTGTCCCACAGCAATTATACCAGACATTAACGGATTATGATATTCGATTCTATATGTATGAGATTTTGAAGGTAAGTTGGTGTTTTGCTGGTTTATCTGTTTATTTCTAGGATTTGCTCTCAGCTAATCCTATAGAGATGTTTTTCATGTTGCTAGTGGGGGAAAAGAAAAGAAAGCCTGTGAAAGAATTGGATAGAAAAGTATAGATCAAGTCAGTATCAATTGTTCAGCTTTGTGTCTGCAACAAATTCTAGTCTTTTTTCTTCTTGAGGGTAGCAGAGCCTCCGGATACACTGAGATACCTTTAGATCCTAAATCAAAAATAAATGTAGCATCTGAAAACAAAATCGTGAGCTGTTACTGGTTGGTTTAGTGCCCTAATGTGAGTCAAATGTGTTTGTCCATTTTTCTGGGACAAATATTTTCTCAGGAGTCTAGAGAAGAGGAATTTTGTTTGATCAATAATGCCTGGTAACTCTGCTCTTAGGGACTCTGAAATTCCATTTTTATGAGCAAGAGCATGAGGAGAAGTTAAAAACACTTCTGTTCCTGGGACCTCCCTTTGGAGGGGGCTCTAGAGGTGTTTTCTGTGGCTTGCTAGTCCAGGGTATAACTGGACAGTAAATCTTGCTGGCTGGTTAGACTTCATGTATGTGGAAATACTTCTGAATATGGTTGAACATGAAAGCTTCTTGTGACTCCAGCATCTGTTTCTTTGGCTGTCACCTCCAGGCTCTAGATTACTGCCATAGCATGGGAATCATGCACAGAGATGTCAAACCTCACAACGTCATGATTGACCACGAGCACAGAAAGGTAAGTCCATGGGGCAGGGAGGCATCTGCAAGGGGGGCTGCACTTCCCTCGTGTGGAGAAACATAAAAATCCTTGATGTTGTTTGTTCTGAAGTTGTAATGGATTACATGTAACCCAGGAATAGTGTTGGGAAGGAGAGGTGTTTGATTCAGAGTGGTTGGTGATTGGGTGTGGGGACAGTAACGGGACAGATACTCTGATCAACTGCATAACAATTGGAAATAGAAGGTTTGTAAATGAAGCTTCAAACAAAACCCACCTGAAGGGTGATCTGGAGCATCCCTTGAGCCTTTTCTCTTTGTTTTCTACCATTTCTAGCTTAGACTAATAGACTGGGGGTTGGCTGAGTTCTATCACCCTGGCCAAGAGTACAATGTCAGAGTGGCTTCCAGATATTTCAAAGGACCTGAACTCCTTGTAGATTATCAGGTAAGAGTTACCAGGATTTATCACTGACTTTCCATATCAAAGTCTGTGCCCTTTCAAGGTAGCAAACCTGAAATTCAGATCTCTAGAGGCCTGAAGCTAAAGACAGTCTGTCCCAAAGTGGATCAGGAAAGCAGTGGCTGTAAAGCCACTGCCTCAGGGCCTGAGGAAGAGCTGGAGAACTATCATAATGGATCATGGAATACAGATGTTGGATATTATTTTAGCAAGGCAGCTTCTGCAGTAAAGTATAGGAATGAAACAGCCCTTGTGGGAACACTTGAACTGCCTGAAATGCAAAATTAAGCTATAAAAACATCCCCATATCTGAGGGCAGTTTGTGTGGTTGGAAGTGCTGTGGGCTGGAAGGAGCAGCAGTCCTGGTGCCTGAGATGGTGCCAGTGCTGCATGAAGGCACTTCCTCACCTGCCCCTGTACCTGTCAGCTCATTGCTCTTGTTGCTCATGGTGCTTCCCTTCCCAAAACAGGGTTTCTCAGGGATTTGAAACACGAAGACTGCAGGGAAAACAGGAAAAGGCACTGGTCTGTACTACCTTTATGGACCAGATGGAAATGGGATACATGCTGTTCTAATTGCTGTATCCTAGTTTGAGTAACTGGGACACTGGGCTGAGCAGTGATCTCAAGGTGAAGATGCTGAAGATGCTTCAGCCCATTCCCAGTGTTACGTGGCCGCATTTGTGGCACGGGAGGGGGGGGGAGCCTGTTGTTCTCCCTAATTCATGAGGAATTGAATTGTCCTTCTGGATTTTACAGATGTATGATTACAGTCTGGATATGTGGAGCTTGGGTTGCATGTTGGCTAGTATGATATTCCGAAAGGAGCCATTTTTCCATGGCCATGACAACTATGATCAGGTGAGAGCTGATCATGTTCAATCTCTCCTCTTTGCACAAGAAGGGTTTCCTGCTGGCACTTGAATTGAGAGATCTGGAGAAGTTTCTTTGATGGTTTCTTTGCTCTGTTTGAAGCCACATTCCTTTTCTCAGAAATAGTTTTATATTCCTTTGTATTCATGAGCTCCTCAGAACTATCTGGAAAGAGTTATAACTATAGTTATGTTAAGGCTGGTGTGCTCTGGTACATAGATTGACAGTTCCTGTGGTGGTTAGTGGAAAGCCCCTGCCACTATCCCCTCTCCCTCCCCTTGTCTCCATCCCTCCCTTCTGTATAGAAACTGTGAATTTGGTTCAGTTTTATATAGACTCTGAAATCTTTGATGTGCTGCCTTTAGGCCAAAATTTTTATACTTAAGCCTTTGATGTGCAGACATTCCTGACCTTCTGTTCTCAGACCTTCACTCTGGAGCCCTCTGGGGTGACACTTGACCCTTCACATGCAAGTTACAGAGTTTCTGCTTTTTTGCCCACTTTTTCTTGCCTTTCCCTCTGTTGGTTTTGAATATTTTCTTGCTGCAAAGGGAGTTATAGTTGCAAGATCTCATGAGTTAGTGATGTTAGGATGGGCAGCTCCCTTCCAGCTGCCTTGGGTTGCTCTGTACTGAGGTAAGGGAGGCATGTTGATGTTTGCTGTGACTCTGTGTGCCCAGGACATCTGAGCCATGAGGTGCCCCTGTGGCTAGTTCACCCCTCTGAGGCCAAGTTCATGCTCCCAAGGGAATTGTGCTGCTGTGTCTTTCTGCTGGCTCTGGCAGTAGTGACTCCTTTTTCTGTTTGTTCCCAGCTGGTGAGGATAGCCAAGGTGCTGGGAACAGAAGATCTGTATGACTACATTGACAAATACAACATCGAACTGGACCCACGTTTCAATGACATCTTGGGCAGGTGAGCCAAGATCCAGAGGAGCTCATAAGCTCTTGGTGGACCCAGGGAGCTACTGCTTTGTCATCACACCTTGAAGCAAACAAACAATGATGGCAGAAATCACAGCCAAGTTTCTCCTGATCTGCCACTTTGTGGCTTTGATCCCTTTTTGCCAGAGCTTCCCATGGTCCTTCATCTGCAAATGTACTTAGGAAAGGTTTTTTAATGTCATTTAGGCAATTAAAGAGCTGCTGGAGCATGAAGGGCAAGTGCCCTTCCCAGAATTCTGGGGCAAAAACATGAATGGTGTTTCTCAGAATTACGGTCCTGAAAATCAGTTGCTGCCTGTGGTGGCATTTACATATTTTCTCCCTCATAGAGTCATTTTGTGTGACACATTCCAAAACTACAAGGAACTGTTGTTTGGGGAGCGTGAGGGGAGAGCAAAACTGGGATTTTAGGCCTGTAAATCCATCCCACACTGGAGTCCTGAAGGTTGTCAGGGCTGTGGTGGCTCTGCCACCGTGTGGGGACACGGAGCACTGCTCCCTGGGCTCAGGAGCTGCCCTTTCCCAGGGGGACACCTCCTGCCGGGCCTGGCTCTTGTAAAAAGTGCATTTTGGAGTCAGTGTCCTCTGCCCTGCCTGATCTGGGGAATCTTTTCTCTTGGCCTGCAGACACTCCCGTAAGCGATGGGAGCGCTTTGTCCACAGTGAGAACCAGCACCTGGTGAGCCCAGAAGCTCTGGATTTCTTAGACAAGCTGTTGCGATACGATCACCAGTCGCGACTCACAGCAAGAGAAGCCATGGAACACCCCTACTTCTGTGAGTATCCCCTGCTGCCCAGGGAGCTCTGCCCCTGGGGACCCACCTTCCTGGCACTGGAGCCCAGGCCTCTTGGCTCTGTGGAGGGTGAATTGAGCCACCCAAACCGTGCCAGGCCATGAACCAGCAGCACCATGTGATAAAGGAGCTTTGGTGCTAAACCCCTGCTGGCTTCAGCAGGTGTCTGGGCACACCAGTTCCTGTTGATCAAACCAGGTAACTGGTTTGGGGGCAAATAGGCCCTTTTAACTCCTTTGGTTGCTAAATCTGTAGCCCAGCAAATGGGATACTCAGGGGTCAGCTTTGCAAACAAAGATGTAAATTTCACTAGTAATTGTTTTTAAATGCTTGCTTTGTTTTCACAGATACTGATATTTAGGTTATTGACACTGGAATATTTGCTCAGTTTATTTTTTTTTCTTGCTGCTGAACAAGCTTGTGTAATTATCAAGCAGTGATTGCTCTGGATTATGGCTGTGGCAGATGTTCAAGTGAAACGTTTTGCAAGTGTGAGCATTGGTAAAGCTGAAAGCTTGGAATGGGAGAGTTGAACAGACAGCTTAATCAGCTTGTGTACAAGGAGAGATGCAGGTTGTACTGGACTCAGCATGAGGAAGGGCAGCATTTAAAACTCCCTTGTTAGATGTAGTGGCTTGAGAGGCAGGGAGGGGAAGGTTCTGTTCAGTGTCATCACATACAGCTGAAATAGTGACAGTGAGTAAACTGGGGACATCTTGTGGAAGGCAACGTGCTCCAGTGACACTCACAGGCTGCTGTGAGATGGGCATAGAGACATGATTGTAATTAGTAATAATCTTTCTGCTTGTTTGTCCTGGTTTGAGCTGCACCCATTTCCTGGGTTTGGCCCCATACAGCTCTCAGCATAGAAAGATCAATGTCCCCTCTGCTTCCTTCAGCCCTGGCTGTGCACCAGTCCTGCTGAGCTCCAGAGCGCCTCGTTCAGGCAACTTTTCATGGATCATGTTGCCTTGGTACCTTCTTGGGTGGTAGATGATGGTTGATACTGTTGGACCAGGCACCTAAGGGTGGTTTTGCTCTTCCTAGATCCCATCGTGAAAGACCAAGCTCGGATGGGCTCGTCCAACATGGCGGGTGGCAGCACTCCTGTCAGCAGTGCCAGTATGATGTCAGGTCAGTGCTGCTCCCTCACTCCTCAGCACTTCTGTGTGGATGTGAGGATCCGGGAGGGCAAGTCCTGCATTGGTTCATCTCCAGGGCCTGATGACAAGGGCAAGGAGGGCTATGGAGAAGTGGGTGGGAGAGGACAATAAACAAGGCCTGGCTGCAGCCTGACCTGCTTTTCTGGTCCTGTTTTAAAAAGTGCAGTTGGGTTTTTTGCAGCCGTGTGGATGGCAGTGATTCCTCCCCCTCGGTGTGTACAAAACTGAGCTCTCTTCAGAGGCTGCAGGGGAGCAGGAACAGGTCTTTCATCTCAGCCTGTTCTGGCAGCTCTGCAAATGCCACAAAGCAGCAGCAAACTGACCTGCAAGGACTGGGGGAGCTGAGCTGCCCTGGATAAGCTCTGGTTTTGCTCTAATTCCTGCTTCCCTGTCTCTCTTCCAGGGATTTCTTCAGTGCCAACACCTTCACCCCTCGGACCTCTAGCAGGCTCACCCGTCATCTCTGCCACCACCACGCTGGGGATGCCTGTTCCAGCTGCTGCCGGGGCTCAGCAGTAGGGTGGGCTCAGTCTCCTGCTGCCTGGGCTGAGGAGGGTGGGGATGAGGTTCCCCCCACAGCTCTGCTCAGGGGGCAGCTCGTGCCTGGCAGGGGAAGGGAGGGGATGAAGCTTTGGAGGCACCGTGTCTGAACTGTTGCTTGTGGATTTATAGTAGTTCAGTCATTATATACAAAATTATTATAGGCTGATTTTTTTTTTT